GGGTTTAGGGTTTAGGGTCTGTGATGTCTTGCTCTTGCTTAATGCAGGAGACGCTTTTGGGTCCGTGGCTTATGTTGTCACTGAAGCCTCAGTGCCGTCACATTCCCGTCAGCAGGCCATTAATTCCCTAATCCCCGATCTTTCTATTCTACCCATACCGAAGAGGTTCAGATATGACCTGCTTTCACCAAAAGATTAGAGCTCAACCCCATAAGGTTATTCCTCTGAGCCCGAAGCCTTGGATTGTCCGATTCTGTAGTCCCTAAACCCTAAACCCTAAACCCTAAACCCTGGGGTTAGGGCCTCTGCCTCGAGATTTGCAACCCAGGCAATGAAGCGATTGTATGCGCTGCTGCCCCTCGTGCCTCGGTGAGGTTGGGGCTTTAAGCGGTTTATTGAATGTCAAGACGCTGATAATGAAGTTGCAGTCTTGGGCCTTGGGCGCTGCTAGTTGCAGCCATGCATGACAGCAGGCAAAGTAATCTTCTTCACGTTCGTCGTAGCCGCTGTCGTCTTCGTCTGCTCATGGTAGTGGAAGGTGGTAGGGGCTCCTCCAACGATGCACACGCCTGGCATCTAGCCGGCAGGCAAATCTCAACCTGCACCCCGAAGAGGTGTGGCGTTTTTGGGTTTCAGACTTAGGTTTTGGGCGTGTCCGGAGGCACATGTCGGGCTACCGGAATCCCCAGGTTCGTGTGGAGAACTGGGCTTTCAAGTCCCGAAACCAGGCGCGATCGCTTTACACCCCGGACTCTAAGCCTTGAATGCAGCACTCTGAAGCTCTAAACATTAAAACCCTACGCTTGAAACCCTAATCTCATAAGAAGCCAAACCCTGAAACCCCACCACCCTCAATCTTAAGCCAAAAAGACAGTTGAAATAAAAAGACACTAAACACAACAAGAACATACCCACGGACCCCAAGGCCACCGTGATCGAGAAGAGCGTCTTCGTCGTGCACGGCGGCCTTTCGCGTTGTGCCTCGCCGATGTTTTCCTATGGACCGAAACCGGATCCCGAAAGCCAAGCAGAAGAGAACAGGTTTCAGGCCCTTGTGTGGGGTTGTCGGTTTTGGGGGGTTTGGTCCTTCAGGTTGGCGGTAGCCCGAACGCTCATAACCCCAAATCCTGCAAGCATAGACCCCGGAATAGCTTGGGATAAAACCACAAACCCTACACCTTTGAACCCCAAAGTCTCCCGAGCCTTGAATAATTCGATGAAAGCTTCTGAAACCTTGTCAAACCTATGGAACCCTAAAAAGTTCCGACAAAACCCATCAGCCCCATTGTGAAACGTTGACAAGTAGCCCAGTAGCCCCATGAAGCCCAATGAATTCCGATAGCACCCTCTCTAGCCGCATGAAACATGAACAATCCTTGGAGTCCTACCAAGCACTAGGAACCCCCATAATCGTGGTAAAGAAATCCTACAAAACACTATGAACCCCTACAATCGTCGTAAAGAAATCCTACAAAACACTAGGAACCCCTACAATCGTCATAAAGAAATCCTACAAAACACTATGAACCGCTACAATCGTCGTAAAGAAATCCTACAAAACACTAGGAACCCCTACAATCGTCATAAAGAAATCCAACAAAACACTATGAACCCCTGTATTCGTCATAGAGAACTCCTACAAAACACTATGAGCCTCCGCCCAGGTCCGCATCCGCTGCGGCTGCTGCGGTCCCTGCATGAGCGCCCCAGCTCTCTGCCTTCGGAGCCGGCCACGGCGGCAGAGCAGGTGGTTTAGGGTTGAGGGTTTAGGGTTTAGAGTTTAGTGTTGGGTTTAGGGGAGGTCTCCGGGAACCTCGAAAGAGAATCACAAAACATAGCAACGGTTCACAATAACACAATACTCATGGTAATAAACTAGAGCCTAAACACTGGGGTGCTCCACCGACGCGTTCGCCAAAAAATGAACCCCAACAAATGGGGGTTTCTGAAAATCGGGGACCCTAATATAGTACCCTAAATAATAGGATCCTTATTATAAGGACTCCCAAAATAAGGTACCCTAATTTTTGGAAACTCCCAAATCCATGGTCTTCAGGGCTTTTTCGGACCCCAAGCTGAGCTGCGACCAATCCTTGGAGCGGGCGGGTCTTGAGGACTGTGGACTTTTTGGGTTGAGGTTGTTTGGGGTTTAGGGTTTAGGGGTTCTAGTGTTTAGGGTTGTTTGGGGTTTAGGGTTTAGGGGTTTTAGGGTTTAGGGTTGTTTGGGGCTTAGGGTTTAGGGGTTTTAGGGTTTAGGGTTGTTTGGGGTTTTCAATTTAGGTTGTTTTCCTCGCACGGTACTGTAAGAAGTCTCTAGTTAGGCTTTCGCATTCGGGCGATGGCCCGAAGAACGGAACAAACGACACACACACACACACCATAAAGACTTGCATAGCCAAGGGCAGTCTTAGGGTTCTCAGTCAACAACCTCAACCCCAAGCCCTAAACTTACGTACAACGAAAGCTTGAAGTATGCACAGTGGGGATGTGATCTAACCGACTTCAATAAGTCAATGAAGCTGTTGTGATCGTCCAAAGCCGCTTCCAGAGTCTAGGAGATTTTCAGGTGAGTAGTTACCGTTATAGCAGCCTTATAGAAGGTCTATATACCTTATAGAAGCCTTATAGAAAGCCCTACATACCCTAAGCTCCCCACCTGTTAGCTTCCTCTAGCTCAGAGAGCCTAAGCTTCAAGAAGCTCCTCATTCGGATGATTCCCCTGATGCTGGAAGTAGGTCATGATCGATTTTCTTTGGGCCGATCCCTGCGTGTCTCGGCTTCTTTCTGTCTGTGCAGGTTGAGGAGCTTGGCTTGACTCTTGGATAGTCTACCCTAAACCCTAAACCCCTAAACCCAAAACCCTAACTTGACTCTTGGATAGTCTACAGCATGCGGCTTCAGGAGCTGCAAGAGGCTCATGATGGACGGTTTAGGGTTTAGGGTGTAGGTTTAGACCCCCTTAGCCTCCCTCCCCGGAAGGTTTGGGGCCTGAAAGGTTTGGATGCGAAGCTTAGGAATCTAAGGTTAGAAGTATGGGCGCCTGATACGGACCCTTAGGCCTTTCTAGGGACCCTTTAGGGTATATACATGCTTTCAACCTTAGAAGCAAAGTCATTTCTGATTCTTTACCTTCCAGGTGCCTTATACACTAAAGCTTGGGTGCTGCCCCCACTCAGTAACAGTTGGATAATATTTATGTTATGGATATATTAGGCCCTTAATAGTAGCCCTATTACAGACTGTTACTGTATGGGGGCAGTACCCAAACTAAAGCCATAGCGGAAGATCCCCTGGCCGGCAGAGGCTGGCCTTGTCTATTGGGACTTCGGAAGCTAGGGGTACCTCAGATAAGTCAATTTGGGACTTTCCGAGAATTTGGGTACCTTATTTTGGGGTCCTTATAAAGGATCCGATTATTTGGGGTACTATGTTAGGGGGTTTAGGGTTTAGGGTTTAGTGTATTAAGGATCCTACAAGTGTTTAGTTTTTTAAGGAACTCCCGCATGGTTGGGGTCATGGGATAGCGTCCCAAGGACATGCCGGGCCTTTCGCCTTCCAAGCGTGGGGGGCAGATGATTCGTGTCTTGGCGAGGTTTAGAGCTTTAGGGCTTATGTTTATATGTTTGTTCTTACCTAGCCACTCTAGGCATTACCAGTAAAATCACTCTGATGCTCTATTCGATCGTCATATATCACTCCAATACGCTACAGGCACTACTACCGACCTAGAGGTGCCTGAGAGGTCTCAAGCCAAGGTCCAGGTCCCAGGCCAAGGGCCTAGGGCTTTGCAAGTTACGCGCCTTTTCGTCGCAAACCTGTACGACATAGGCTACATAGGCGATAACAAAGCGATAAAGCGGCTAGACCCTGAGTCGTACGTAGTATACGTAGAATAGTAAAGACCCCCGAACGGGGAAGTCACATTCGGAAAACTTCAGCTTTCAGCACTCTCACGGAATCGGAATCGCCAGGCCATCCCCATGCCATGCGAGGACACTTCAAACATAATTTCTGAACCCTACCTCCTGAGCCCCAAGTTACACTGAATTCTACGCTGAGGTTTCGGCCCGGATGTGACGAAGCAGTTTCTTGAGGATTCCCAAAGATTCTGCACCCGGCGGGCTTCTTGAGACGTATGACCGTAGGCCATCTGTTTTCGGACACTATCATGGTGGTTGATTTAAAGTTTTAAGGTTCGGTGGGTCTACAGTACGGTTCTTGCACTTTGCTACTGACTTTGTCGGACGTCCGCGTCTCGGTTCGAACGTAGAGCTCCCGAGCCACGGACAAATCTGTTGACTTTGGGCTCGAAGCTTTCAGACCTCGAAGGCCTCAGCTGTGAGCCTCGCGTGGACCTCAAGCCTCAGGATTGCTGTAAGCAGTGGTTTAGGGTTTAGGGGTTTAGGGTTTAGGGGTTTAGGGTTTAGGGCTTTAGGGGTTTAGGGTTTTGACGTTTTTGAGCACTGGCAATAATGGCCAGAGACATTTGTCATCATAACAGACACAAAAATGAGGAACACCGGTACTCGTAGTTGGACAGAGTAGGCATCGTAGTGGGGGTCAAACAGTCAGACAGAAATGGTATAAGTCTCTCCAGGACTCGGGCTTCGCGTTGGTGGTCAGATCTCACGAAGTCCCGAAGAATAACGACGGCGTCTATGCACCGCGCACGCAAGACCAAGGCTTCAGGTGTTGCTTTCTGGTTCTTGCGGGCGCAGTGATGATGCCGGAGATGCCAATCAATCCGATGCTGCAGTGGATGCGAATGTCGGTGATGATGAGGAGGCCGGTGATTCTAATGATAGTGATGGTTGTCGGCGATGACGCTGACGATGACGATGACAACGACGATGGCCATACCCATGGCGGTCAGGGTGTCGATGCCGACCTGATACTGACTTTACGTCCTTTCAGCCACCACAACAGGGGAAGTGTTATGACGAACCCTGATAGCTATTATGTAGCCCACCCAATGTGCCTTAAACATCCTTAAACAAGGACCCTGCACAACTCTTCAGCCTTGTGTGAGGTTATGCACGAGAATCGGTTGGTCACTGTTTTCAGTGCCTCGAACTACATGGGCAGCGTGGGTGCCTGGACCGCATGCATAGTCATGCACAGAGCTCTTCGGGTGTATGCAGAATGTTGGTTATCTTCGTTCTCCAATACCCAGTCTTGAAGTCTGTTGGGCTCTTGTATGTTCCTATTGCCTCTCGACGTTTAACCTGTTATGTCCTCGCGTATTTATAGGTATTGAAGTAGCTCGCAGGTGGGTAAGGGGTCTGAAACCTTCGCAATGTCTGGAACACTTTGCATGTACTCTTTCGGAGGAGCAAGAAAGTTTGTTGATATCTCCGAAGTCGTGTCTCAAAGTTCGCGCTTCGTGTTCGGCGCGTTTAGATGGTGAACCCTTATCCTGGACAGTAAAGCACAAGATCCCTAAGCCCTCACCTACTATCGTTCTGACTCAAGTTTGCATGAGGGAGCAGACCGGGCCAGAAACGGACCAGAACTTAACGCTTACTTGAAGCCCTTTTGGGAGTTGGAGTCACTTGTGAACTTCCCATCTCAGCTTCTGGAGTGGGAGGCAACCACGGCGCCGTGCTCCTCTTCCATGCTAGCGGAGGCGAGAGGGTACTCCAGGGTGCAGAAGTTGTGCTTCCACTGCATAAACTACCAACCCTAAATCCCCTAAATCCATGAACATCAAAGTCCGTTACTCTGAACCCTGGCCCTAGCCCTAGACACAGAACCCTGGCCATGAAACTCCAAGCTGCTAGTAGCCGTGACACTCTGCAGCCTCAAGCTCTTTGCAGCGCAGAGCCCCAAAACCTGCATTCTAGACTCTAGACTCTAGACCCTAACCTTGATATTGCCCAGAAGTTGGGGTGTTCGTCTGGATAACTTGGAGCATTGGGCGAAATCTCACATAGAGAATCCCGAAACTCTTACATCCTCAGGAAACCCTCAACCCTGCATCCAAACCTTGAAACCTCAAAGGCGTAAAGCCTTGGAAGAGACCCTCTGACCAGAAAGCCGTAGCCCTATAATTACGGCCTCTGCGAGCGCCCATGTAAACACAGAACCTGGTCCTGGTACCAGAAAAAGACTTCAAGAAGAAAAGTCTGATGATAAACCTGAGCAATAGCAGACTAGCATGACTAATGTTGACAACGGTGATAGTTTGGAGTACCTCATCTTCTTCTCAATCTCATCATCATCATCGATAATGACGCTCATTATATAGGAGCCTTAGTAATTGGAATAGGGTTTTGGGACCCACTATATTATAGTTATAATAAGGGACCCCCCCAAAAAAAAAACAAATGTATCGGTAATTATTTAGGCCCCTACATTTCCTCTAAAGCCCCACCCTTCTGAAGAGCAGGAAAGCTCAGCTTCAACGAGAGCCGGCACTTCGCCCCGGCTCTCAGCGCGCGCTCCTTGGCAGCTTCGTCTTCAGCCTTTTTCTGGGGCGACGTTGCGCAGTATAGGGTTCAGGGTTTAGGGTTAAGGGGGTGTTAGGGACTTTAGGAAACGTTCGATGGGTGTAGAGCTAGGGACTTTAGGAACTGTTCGCTGGGTGTAGACTTTAGGGTGTATCTTAATCTTGAACAGTCCCTTTTAGGGTATATACTTATATGACTACTTATTACCTACTTACTAAGTCTCGCGACCCTCCAAGTATTCGGGGTCCATTTATCTGGGTTTGTCGTGCTCTGCAGCCTCCCGTTGACGTCTTTTGGTTGTTTCCTTACTGGGTTTAGGGTTTAGGGTTTAGGGTCTCTGGTTAGTCAACCCTTTCAGGAGTAGAGTAGGTATCCTAGGAGAAAGTCCCCGACAGATAAATGGGGTGTTTTCAATCGGGGGGAACCGACTTGATGGCGCTTGGGATTCTGTGCTGTCCGGGCTTGCGAGATTTCGATTTCAATCCCCGCTTGCAAGCCTAACGCCTGAACTATATAGGGCCGACTAGTGTTATGAGGTTGCATCAAGGGATTAAAGAGGCTAAAAGGGATGTGGTTCAAACTTGAGGGCTTTGGGCCAAGCACCGCAACCCTCAAGGAAGGACTAGTCGGATCCTTTGGGGAGTATTCAGCTTGTGAGATATGACTCTTGCTTGTCTTGGTTGCAGCGTGCTTATAAGTGTTTACGAAGATCACAGGTGAGGATGGTGCGTTGGTGGACTGAGACATTTAGGCTTGCAGGGCTTCTGAAGCTTGTGCATTGTGGTGCGCTTTTGAAGGGCTTCTGTGTGGGGCTGCTGATTCGAGTTCTTAGGGTTTCAGAAGGAGTGTGGAGGACATGAGTTTCACGATGAAGTTCCCGCTGCAGTTTGGGGTTCGGAGTCCGGAGGCTTTTTGGTTGAGGGCTCAAAAATTTTGGGCCGTGGCACACCCGAGAGACGCCTGAGACCGCCAAAGGTGAGTTTGCGCTGCTCCGGTCGACGCTGGAGGTCCGCAGTTTCGGATGTTCGTTTCAGCTGCAAGTGTCTGCGCCCTCAACTTCGATGTCAAATTAACGGGTGAAGATCCCACCCTACTGCGATAGGGGCAGGTTTGGTCTTGAGCTGTCGGATCTGCGGGCTTGTGGGGTTTGGCAGTTAAGGGATGTTGATCGCTTAGCCTGGCGTTGCTCCACAACAAGGATCTTGTAGCTGCTTGAATCCGGTCAGTGGGTGTCTCAAAGACTAAGCGACCGCAAACCAATAGTAATAGTAGGATCCTCATGTCAGTATCCCGAAAACCGGACACGGAGGCCCGGTCTGGTAGATGTGTTCGACCGATGCCCCCAACCTGATGCTTGACTCTAGCAACCCAGCACACGGGTGTGTAAGGAGACTTCGACAAGTCACAGGTTCAGGGTTCCTGGTCGAGGGGGCTCGGGATGTAGGACTTTGCTAGAACTCTGGAGGTCACTTACATAGCGCTTTGGGTTCAGGGCCTTGGCGTGCCTCAATCGGGGGCACCACGGCATAAGCGCGAAGCCTTCCGGAAGTTTGGAGCCATGGAATCACTTTCAGGGTTACATCCTCGGGCCGGTCTCCATGCTAGGCCTTACAGACCTGCAAGCCCTTCTGAAACTGTGAAGAGCCGCCAGCCTCATAGAGCAAGCACCTTGCCAAAGCCTATTGTGCACCTCTCCACCTCTCAGCCACCTTGCATTAGCCTCGGGTCGACCTCATTCGAAGAATCTCACAAACCTTCTTCTACCCAAGCCCTAAACCCTAAACCTTAAACCCTAAACCCTAAACCTTAAACCTGCTTGGCATTTATCGGTTAGACCTCGACGCCCAAGCTTCCGGAAGGATGCGCTGGGCCTCCCCCGAGAGCAGACAGACATTCCGCGGCTTCAGCTTCAGGCGCTCTCGTTGCGCCCGAGCCTACAAGGGCTCAAGGTTGACTGTCTGGTGCTTAGTAGGGAAGGGGGGAATGGGTAATAGGGACTACTACAAGGGACCTTAAGGCACTATCATAGGGATCCATTCCCCCATTCCCTACTAAGCACCAGACAGTTGAGGGCCAAACGCCATAATACAGCCTGCACCTGAAGCCTAAACCCTGAACTTCGACGTCAAGAACTTAGCCCTCAACCTCAGCCCCGGCTGCATCCTAAAACCCGACGGAAACGTAACTGCCCGAGAACCCAAAGCCTGAACTCCTTCAGCCATGAATCCAACAGAAACCCGGTCTCCCCTGGCTCTAGCATGGTTTAGGGCACAGGGTTTGGGAGTATCTACGGCTTAGGGTTTAGCCGGGTTTAGGGGGATTTGAGCGCGGATTGCTTGGTTTCTGCAAGGAAGCAAGGCTCCGGGTGGTGAGGACACGCAGCCGAGAGCCCGAAAGTAGTTCAAGCCTTGACGGGGCCCTGAAGAACTACTGGTACTGTTTCAGCTGGCTCCTTAGTATATTTGTAGTATCAAAACCCAAAACCCTAGTGATATTAGACCCTCTTAGTTGTGTCTGGGCGTCAGGCTGCAGAGATGGCAGTTGCGCAGAGCGTGCCCCAGGAGGATCCGCAACAAGACAGGCCGCGCATGTTCTCAGGGAGGCAGAGGGAGCGAGGGCGGGAGAGACAGAAACACAAAAAGACGGAACAGCACATCCGCATTGGGGTTGTAACACCATGGATATGTTGAAGTGTCTACGTGTATGTCGAGTCAGCGTTTGTGTGTGTGTGTGCGGTGTAGGGTCTTGTGTTTATGATTGGGTTGAGATTGCTGGGCTTCGAGGATGAGGTCTAAGATTGTCTGAAGATTTTAGCTTTCTCTTTGTATTAAAGTTGCCTACCTTAGGGAAAACAGGCTAAAAGATAGTATTTTCTGCGTCGGGCTCTTGGATGTCAGGACCAAGAGCCCCAGAGCCCGGAGCCTGATCTGAGAAGCTCAGTAGGTACCCACCTCGCTGCAAGCCTCGAACCCGAACCAATAAACCTGGATAAGGTTTAGGGTTTAGGGTTTAGGGTTTAGGGTTAGGGTTTACTTTAGGATTCCATCAAATATCCATTTAGAATGGCCCTTAGACGTCCAGGCTTCCGAAGGAGCTGGTGCGACAGGTGGCCCAGCTTGTCGTCGAGCAGAAACCCGTCGGGAAGCCCGGTAGAGCGCGAGGGGTTGAGGGCTTTGTCGGGGTTGAGGGTCTTACAGGGGCGCTGTAGGTCTTTGCCAGGGTTCAGGGGTTCGCGCCCGGACTGCTACGAGACCTTCAGCCTACCTGAATTACCAAGGTCCCGATCAGGATTCCTTATGGGGAACTTAACCCGAGAAGCCCTTCCAAATCCCAAGCCCTGCTTGCAAGACGTGCGTAACCAAGGGTGTTGAGGCGTTCTAGGCAGGTTTTGTAACAGGTGAGGGCCTGAGCCGAACATCGCGAGGCCTGACATGGGTGGTTGTCAAAATTATGGTCCCTTTTTGGGTCCTTATTATAATACGGCACCTAATATTTAGGGTACCCCAAAAGGAACCCTAGTTTTGACAACTACCCGCATGTTCACGGTCCAACCTTGCCTAGGCACTTTTCGCCTTCTTCTTCGCGCATGATGTGAGCAAGACCGGCTTCATAGACGCGCTCGGCTGGCAAAGGGGTTCAGGGTTTAGGGTTTAGGGTTCAGGGTTTAGGGTTTAGGGTTTAGGGTTCAGGGTTTAGGGTTCAGGGTTTAGGGTTTAGGGTTTACGGTTCTCATCAGGGCTTGACTTCCTCTTGTGCCTATGGTAGGATGTTTGTCCGTATCCCGCGCATCCGAGAGCATGCCTTCGCATGATGTGTCTTGGGTTTTGTGGGGTTAGGGCTTCCAAGGTCTATGCCTGTAGTTTTTCTTTGACTTGTGGGTTGAGGGACTTCTTCGAGGGTTAAGGGAGAATCCACTAAGCAAGCCCAGGTTGGGATAGCTTCGGGGCACATGTTTGCGATGCAGCGAGTTTCGATTGTTGGGCTTCGCGCTTCAGTGGCAGGGGTCCCGTGGAGACCTTGGGAGGCTCTTGAAGCCCTTCTTAAAGGAACCCGAGCCGCGAAGCGAAGCGAGCAGGTGCAAGACTGGCTCGAGGGTTGCCGGGCTGTCTTGGGCGACCTGCATCTTGGCGGTGGAAGACTGAGATTTTTGTTCGGGGGTTTCAGGGTTTGGAGATGCAGAGTTTAGGAATTGAAGCGTCGAACGCTTGAATGTGGGGCCCGAAACAAGCCCTTTCCAGATGTGTGGCTTGCGTGTTCTTCTAGAGAAGGCCATTGAGTTTGATCTAAACCAGCACGGCACGGAAGGGAAGAGAAGAGAGCTCTCCAACCTGCTCCCAAGAAGGCTCTCCCCTCTTAAGCCCTCGCCCGCGAAGCTTCTCACCCTAAACCCTAAGCCCTAAGCCCTAAACCCTAAGCCCCAAGCCCCAAGCGCAACAGCGACTCAGTCCCTGGGAGCAGCTTCGGCAGCTCCTGGCTGTGGAGGAGCCTCAGTAGGGTCCTGCTGGCGTGGAGGTTTAGGGCTTTAGGGGTTTAGGGGTTTAGGGTTCAGGGAAGACGGAAGCGGCGATGGGCTCTCAGGCGTGGAGATTAGGGCCATGTCAGGGGCCAGCTTCCAGTGTTGTTCTAGAGGCTGTTGATAGTCGTCTCAGTTCCTTAGTGGCTGAGTAGGTA